GAGGGGAGGGGAGGAGAACGGTAGGGAGGGGGGAGGGAAAGGGAGGGGAGGGAGAGGGAATCTGAAAGTTCAGAGTAAAGCCAGGACCCTTTCACCGCTCGAAGAGATGGTGAGTGAGAGAGTGAGTGAGTGAGAGAGTGCATGAGTGAGAGGTACAGAGCAGGGCCTAGCGGTGCGTTGAAGGCACTCTGGATAACCGTCAGACACTTTAGAACGCTAGTCTGTATGTCTAAATGTGTCAGTCTTTCCTTGATTTGCGATAGGAAAATATTCTTATCGTAAACATTTTGCAAAAAGCCTCCCATATCCTAACCGCATTGTACATAACGTCAGTGGCCCAGCTGTACCGAGTATTTTGGTCATGTGCATACGCTTGCTAATAACATTTCTCAGCATATCTGTCGTTATCCATTACCAGTCATTTCTACCAATATGTTAGAGCTGGTAAATGATAGGTGCCGTCCATTGGTTACATTACTTCTCCAAACAATTGATCTTCCTTTGCATGTCTACAATAGTAGCTGAAAACAAGCACACCTCTTCTGCGTACCTTAAATTACGTGTTCGTTCTTCATTGTGTAGAGTTCAAATCTTTCGGCGACACTGTTTTTCAGCATCTATTCAAGTTCGGAAACACAGATGTCAAACAAAAGTGGGCAAAGAATACGCCCCTAAAGAACACCCGAAAAGCAAGTAAAGTATCCCATAATTTCCTGCTGGGAGGTAAGGACAGAGCACAGAACTTCCCAGTACAAACTTTGTAGTAATGGTAACATTTCCCCTCTCACGCCTCTTTTCCTCAAGACTGCCCAAAGTTTTTCATGGGGGATGCAGTCAAATGCTTTGGAAAAATCAACAAAAAGTACATAGAAGCGTCCTCGTTTAATTGACAGATACTTTTGGACAATAATTAATTGATTGAAGCGAGAGGATATGTGAGGCAGCGGGGTGGAATCAGGCTCTCGTCAATTTTTGGGCATGTAGAGTTATTGGTATCATCTTAAAGCTTGTTCACGTGTCTTTATTTGGATGAACAAAAATCCATTTTTCTTGAATACAAGTCGAGATATTTGCGGAAGAAGGAGGTGGGGGTCAGTTGTTTTCATAGGTAAAATTAGTGAGAAAATGGCCGCCAAAGATAATTTAGTTATTTCCTCAGCTTAAGAGTCCGTGGTAACTGAAAATGTACCTTTTTTGTGTGCCTTTATTCAACGTTTTTCAGAAAAATCCACTCAGAAATGAGTTCTGCACTGGGCATGAAAGGTGTTGAGGCAAAAAACAAACATTTGACAAAAATTCACAAACCTGCGGAAAAATGCAAGTTTCTTCCCTTTAATTATTTTGACGAGAGCCTGATTCCACCACGCTGCCTCACATATGATCGATAGTGCTATAACCTTTACGAAAGCCAACTTGTGATTCTGGAATTACATTGGTCTGCTCGGCCCAGTTCGCTAGTCGTGAATGCAATACAATACTGTAGATGACATTTACAAATGTAATACCCCTGTAGTTGTTTGCAACTGAAGGACTGTCTTTCTTGAAAAGATAATGAATTAGTGCTTGACACCTCATTTTTACGATATTTTCCTGTATCAAAAATGGTATTAAACAACAAACACAGAAATACTCTAAAGGTAGGACAGGCATTAGAACAAAGTTCAGGACCAATCCCGTCACATCCACTAGCTTTTCCTTTCTTCCGTTTAATCAAAACACTTTGAACCTCAAAAGTTGTAATTTTCCTGTCATACCTGTATACATTTGTATCTGTAACATCACTTGTTGAAACTACTTCATCTTCAGCTTGTATCTGCAACAGATCCTCCTCTGATTCACTTTTTTCGGCTTTTAGCAAGTCTTTTAGGCTGGGG